AAAAAAAAAAAAAGAGGAAACAGAGGAAGGAGGATGAAACTCACGGTGGGTTTCAATAACAGAATCAAAACGCGAACGTAACAAACGAGATGCGACGGGGTTAATAATTTACCAATTGAAAGTGCAATTACTCACCGTGCTCGCCGATAATTTCAAGTGACTGAAGGGCCCGTGAGACACATAGAGTGCATCTCAAGGGTTAATTCCGGCCGATATACCGTAGCCGAGATTTCCAGCCGATCGATCATTGACTGGTTACGCCAACGTAGCCACCTATAAAGCAACCAAAAATTAACGTGAAGCGATAATTGCTACAGCTATTCCTCCTCGGAGTAATATACACGATCACAGCCAGGTTCATGCCTTTGCTACGATCTCTACACTTACGAGCGAGCTCGTGCATATCGGCATGAACACGGTGAAATTGCGTCGTTACTTTCCAGTTACGACTCAAATAATTAATAAAACTAAATTTTCATTCTACCTAATTAAATTCAAATTTCATTACGCTGAAAGTTTCGTTTAAACACGGCCAACGTACTTCGGGCCGTTCAAGCAACGTCTAGCAACGCGGATTAACTAAAATGTGTTTCCCCGTTCACTAGTTCAAGTACGAAATAACTTTTGCTTTTTCTCGCAGGCGTTTCGTGATAATTTATTTTAATTTAAATTTCATTGGAATGAATATGTACATCGGGTGTAATTACATTACAGATGCAGAGTGATGCTGATCGACATCACGAAATAAACATATGTTGTATAATGTGATAAAGAAACGGGGGCAAACACGATGACAACGTGCTGGAAATCAACGAATAGTTATGGCATTTCCTGCGATAAATTCGATTTCGTTACGTAAGATTGAATAACCAATCGTAGGAAGATTTATATTGTAAATTAAATTTTTCGTATGCTAAAAATAAAAAAACAATGCATCTAATTATGTGTAACCGTAATAAAAACAAACTTTTATGGTTACACATAGCAAAGTATAGCAAAAGTACTTATCGTATCGTAACTATTATCGAAAATGAAATAGATTTTTTTATACAACATTGAACAAATAAATTAATAAAGATAAATGTAAAGATTAAATGTATTCAACATAATCATCAATTATTTTCAAGACATAAACGCATAGAATAAGAATCTATGAGGTACATACATGGTATTTATAACTAACGATCGAACAGCACTCGCCGCCATTCGTCCTCTGCGTTCGTTAATGTTCGTTGATTTCCGCTACAGCTTCTTTATCTAACCTCCAAACCGGTCGACCATTATTCATCGTTATACTAAAAGAGAGAATTGATTGATAAATAAGAATAAAACAATTACGATGATAAACATGAGTTTCTTTCAGAATATTCAATGGAGAATATCAAATCGAATAGTAAGAATTTTGCAAGAACCTAACCTCGAATCGTATCCAATTTACTCGTGCGCGCAATCATCTAACGATGGCGCTGTTTTCGTATAGTTGACAAATATCTCTTCCAATAACTGTTCAACTTCAAAATTATGCGTTTTCTTTGTCGTTTCAACTTCGAAAAATATTGTTCTGTAATTATATCTTTGAAACTCGGCTCTCGACGTAGAACTCGCTTTGTCATCGAACATCATTGCTGCAGTTCTGGTAATGGCGGCGCTCGCTGCACGGGGCCCATAAGCGCGTAAATATCAGCACAGATGAGCGCCAACGAGCAAAGTAAAGAACTGGCTTTACCCTCTGCTCATCTCGAAGCAGAAGAGAAAGAGGGATGGAGAAGGAAACTAGTGACAAAGAACGAAAAAGAGGGGCTAGCAAATAGAAAAAGAGAAAATCGAGAGGCCGTCATAATTCCTTGAATTGAACGGCGGGTTATTCTCCACCAAGGTTACCGACGCAGAGGTTGAACGAAGCAAGCGGGCCAAGCAAGCAGGCTAGCAACCTAGCAGGCAGACTAGCATGCAAGCAAGTAAGTAAACGAGCAAGGCAGTCAGGCAAGCCAGGCAAGCAGACAGGCAAGTTGGCTGCCAGTGAGACGCAGAGAGAAAAGCGAAAGAGGGGGCATATGACGAGTAGGATGAGAAGAGGTTGGGTAAGAGAGGAAGGAGGAAGGGAGTGAATCGATAGAACGACAAGGACGGTGCGCGAGTATATACCGCAGCACGGCAGCATCAGGCGTCGTCGGCGGTATATGGAGTTGGATCAGACGGGCGGAGAGAGAGGGGGAAGGGTAAAAACGTTTCGAGGCGTCCCTGTGTGGCGGCGCCACCGTTGCGTCGCTGTAGAAACGTGGTACCGATGCTGCTGATGGTATATCTGTGTGCGAGTTAGTGGTAACGATGTAGAATAAGGATACGTTGGTGGTAGTTGGAACATAGTGGGGGAAACGTCAGGCTGGCAGGCTCGTGGGAGAGAGAAGTGAACGGCGGACAACGAGAGCTCATGGGGCGACAAGGAAGGGGATTGGTCGAAGCGTCGGTACGACTGGGGGGAGGAAGGAGGGCAACACGATCAGGTCGGCAGGCTGGTGAGAGAAGGAAGAATAGAGAGAGAAGGGAAGAAAGAGAGAGAGAGGGAGGAAGAAACGTTGATGTCGAGCAGCGAGGTGAGCGAAACAGAATGAGGAGGGGAGTGGACGGGTGGTTGGTCGACAGCATGGGAGAGGGTCAGAAGGGTAAGGGGAGGTAGAGCCGACTTTATGCAGCTGCGGGACGATAACAACGATGGGCTACAGGACTGCCGCTATAGCTGGGGAAATGCCAAATGGGCTACAGGACTGTGCCGGCCTAGCTGTACGTTCGCTCGCTCGTAGTGGCATGGCGGACGGGCGGTAGAGAGAAGCAGGCAGGAAAGGCGGGAAGGAGAAAGGGATTTCAAGCGGTCGTCTCTTCTCGTCTGCCTCTGCGCTCTACCTACCTATGTATATCTACCTACCTACCCGGCCCGGGTGCTCTCTCCGGGTACTCTTCTCTCCACTGCCTGGAACGTACCGTCCTGGCTGTACCTAACCTCTACTGTTTTCTGCGGCTAGCGCCCTTGCTGATGTTCCTCAACATCGGAGCACGTAGCTGCTTACGCAGACTTCGATGTCATTCATCTTGAGCGAGGTCGATTATTGTTCTCTTTCGGGTATTTTATGTTCTTATGAGCACGATGTCACGCAGTATTAGAAACACAGCAGCCTCTGTTGAAAATCATAGAAAAATATTAAAAATCATTTCTATATTTAATTGGTTGAATTTTTCAAAAATGTATATCAGTAATGAATTTTATTGTATGAGTTTCAATCTTTTTTCGAACGAATCTTTAAATGAAAATATATTCTGCGGAATACTAACATTTCACTATATGTTATATCGTTAAAATGAAAATAATTTTCCTTTTCATCTAGGAGAAACGACATTCGTTATTTAAAATGGAATTTCTTTTATAATTAGTAGTAGTATTAACGAAATGTTAGCACTGCATAATAAACGTTATATCAATAAACACCAAGAGAAGCTGAATCCACAGTTTTATAAAACATATTATGACTTCTATGTAGAACGAAGAATACAAGCAATAACGTAGATGGTACGTGAGGAATGGGGGAATACACACACACACACACACACAAAATATATATACACAC